AGTTCAACGAATTAATGGAAAGCAAAATAAAATCTTCTGTTTGATCTTGATGAGTGGACTTGGGCGGCTGCTTAGTCAGGAGACTTCAGTAGCTGTAGCAGACCAACCTGAATGGTTAACCGGTGAGGATCAAGAGGGAAAAAGGTGGCCACGTGCCCATATCCCTAGCACGCGACCAACCTAACGGTTTTGGCTGTCTACCACTAAACAATCACCACTCCTTGTGAAACACCCCTTCTATCACCCTTCTACTCTCTACCACTCTTTACCATACTCCACAATATACGACGATACACTGTTATTCTATTGGCTCCTATCCCCCTCGTTTCATTCTCTCCATACGTCTTCTCTCTTCCCTCTTTTTTTTTTTCTCCCTTTTATTTTATCTCTCTCCATACAGTTGTCTTCTCTCTCATCTGCCTCTGCTTTTTGGAGACAATACTTTTTCCTCATCTTCTTCCTGCTCCAACCGTATAACTTCTAACAATATTTTGTTACGCAAACAGAAGCTTTAAATTGACGTGGAAAAACACATTTTTATTCGGTCGACGATTTAATGGAGTAGCAATAAAATATTTGAATCATCGGTGATGTTTTTTTGTTAATAAGTCGTAAGGAACGGATGTAAATATGGAATAATATTTTCGCCGGTGTTTTTACTTGAGTTCTACCCAATAAATAAATAAATAAATAAATCAAATAAATCAAGTACAAAGTATACTTCTTCGGCCTCACGATCTCCATTCACTATGAATTCAGATTTTCTCATGAATAACAGCCCATAGAATTTTCCGAGAGAAAAGAAAAAAAAATGGTAAAAACTAAATAATCGAATGATGTAAGGCCCTAATAAAATTGTAAGTCGGTTGGCAGGGCGACGAACACAAATAAAATGCTCAGTATTTTTCTGGGTCCACAAGCCTCCCCCGTAACCCCCCCCAGCCTCCCCCATTGGGCCCCATGTCTTTGTTACGTAAGAGAAACCAAGAATGGCGACGCGGGGAAGAAGCAGATGCTGCTTAAGCATTCTAACGTGTTGTGATACACCAGGAGAAGGAGAAGAGAATAAAAAGAAAAAGAGGAGAAAATAGAAATACCCTGTCGCCAGGGGTCTAATACGATCGAGCGTCTTTGTGTGGAATGTTGCGTGTGACTCAAGAAAACATGTACAATGGGGTGCTCCCCTGTCTCCACGACAGAAATGGTGAGACGATAAGTCGATACAACTCTTTGGTATATATTGGAAGATCGTTATGGATTGACCTTGGGGAAGGCGTTAAAAATCAAAGAACATTTGGTAGAGATATTCTGTGGGCGGGTGCCAGAGGAGCAAACTCGCTAGGGATGGCACAACCGCGAAATTGAGGCTTCGGCGTGAAAATAACGATTTCCTTTTGTACCTCATCGTTGCAGCATCCTCCGATCTTCATGGTGACTTGTCGACTCTTTTCTTTGGGGATATTGTTATTTTATGTAGATTATGCTGAGCGGATGGACGACCATTATCTGAGGATTTCCCGCCTCTATTTGGAAAAAGTAAAGACATTCCGCTTTTTCTTGCCTTTTTTTTTTTCTTGTGATTATTCTCCTGATTAAATATCGCCCTCTCCCTTTCCAGGGAGAATTTTTCGATTTTTGATTATTCGAAATCGGTAGCTAAACCGTGAATGAAAGAAGGGAATTTGAAGGAATAGTGAAGAGCGGGAAAATTCATTATCGCTCGTCTGGTGGGAATTTTAAAATTAATTAAAGGAATTTAATTAAAGTATTTCATTTGATTTTTGGTGAGTACTTTGTACTAACGGTTTTTTCGATAGATGTTCGATATTCGATTTTTGATTCGATTCGATAGATAGTCCACCCTTAAATCGTTTTACCGCATCGCTACGAATATTGATATGTCTCAAGAATGTATCCCTCATATTTCACATTAAAAAAAAATGCATTGAACTGCGATGAACGAGCATTAGTCGGATATGACCATTTCCGTTGATTGATTTTCAATTCGATTTAGGGAGACCGGCCATAGCCTCACGACCATTTCAATAAGAATTCAAATGAATAGAATCATCCACAATGCAGGGACAGTGCAGTTGGGACCGGACCCGGACGCAAAATATTTTCATATTAAATAAAAATACTCATCAAATCCAATATTGATTACGCATAAGAAAAAATGGACGATACACTCAAAAAAATGTCAAATGAAATGCAAAAATATTGAACAGGTCTTGAAATATTCGGTGTAAATCTCAGGTGTCACTGTGATGATCTGGACATCACCTGACACTGATCGCGTGTCTGTCCCCCTGGACATTGAATTCATTCATTGCATGGGGGGTCAGGTCTTGAGAATGGTCGGGGGTTCTTCGGGGAAACACCTAGAAATAGTGAAAATGGGCCCAGCTGTCTCCAACCAGTCATTTCACCCCAGGGAAAAACTGCCCCTCTGAATGCGTGGGTGATGGATTGTCCCGTGCATTACCGTGTCACTCGTCCACACGTTAAATAGAACACCGATATTGCGAGATTCTCTAATACAAAACAGAAGCAACGTGGGGGTGGATTCATGAAATATAGTCATCACATCCCCGATATATCGTTCAATTCTGCTACTTCCATCGGGCCCAAACAATGGAATAAACCCAATAAAACGGACACCCAAAATTTCCGTTATCGATCAATATCGAAAAGGCAAACAAAATCCATTGAAAAAGTGTTACAAATAAGTTTATCCAGAAAAAAAAGAGGTGGTATGATGGAAAGGCTTGGAGCCCCCAAAAAATAGCGAATGTCGTCGCTTCCAACGTCAACGGAAGAAATTTTTTTTTACCGTCATTCATCCACAGGTAGACCTACAAACTCCTGATCTTTCCCGAGGAAAAAAAAAATAGGGAAAAAGAATGAAATGACGGTTAAACACCTTATCGGTGATACTTTGGGGAGGTACGTTTGGAACCACCTGGGACAACCTAGCCAAACTTACAGAGAAAGAGAAGACATGAAGTGCACCTACATCGAGGCACCTCTTTACACCTCCGTGAACAATCATTCACGTTTATTTCTCTCTGGAAAGGGTATGGAATAATGAAAAAAAAAAAAGCGTTACTCCAATAGCGAGAATTGAAAAACACCAGAAATCACCCCAAAATGGTTGAAAGTGTCCCCCTTTGGGTCCCACGTTCTCACGGATAAAAAACTCCATGATTTTTCACAAAAAAAGTGCCTCCCCACCTGAAAGATCGATGATGCAAATTTCTAGAGAGAATGGCGCCGTTGGAGGGGTGAACCTTCCCAGTAACTGAATTTTATAGTAATTCCACCAATGCCCCTCAACCTTGCGGCTCTCAATCTTCCAAGGATGCATTCCTACCTGCGTCGATCGCCGTTTTTTTTTTTCTTTTTATTTTTAACTTTTTTTTGGAGGGGGGGAGGGCAATCTGCGGGCAGGTAAGGAAAAGAGAGGGAAAATCAGAGTGGATAAAAACGGACGTTGGGTTTACTTTATTGAAAAATAGCGTCTTCAGGGTATTTTTTTTTTTTTCGCTTCTTTTATACAACGTACCCCTCCTCCAGTCACGCCGATCTCTACCTGTCCTCTACTTTTGTGTAAAACGCTTCCCGTATGGTTTTTTTTTTCACCGGATTTTGGGAAGATGGGAAGCCATCACGCTGAAACGTAAAAGCGTTTTTTCGGTCCTTTTTTTGTGTGAGATTTTTTTTTTCAGATAGATGACCTCGAGGGGCTGTTTGAATATAATCGTATGCATTTAGAACTTTCCCATAAATTCAGGGGCACACAATTTCTCTCAGTTTATTCATCATTTTTTCTTTATTAACTTTTCCTTCTTCCAACTAAAAATTTTTACTAAAAATCTTAGAAGTATTATTCCACATGCGTCGTATTATAATCCTTCTGTCTAAAACCGATTTTCGGTTGTGGCGAATCGAGGTAATTGCATTTTGGAGACCGTTACACGTCTGAAATTCATACGATAGAAAATGAAATGGAGAAAAAAAAAAATCGTTTGTTAAATCAGTTCCGAGCGATTATTGGCGGGTCGCATTACAATTTAACAAAAAATTATGTACCCGCAAGATGGGGAGAGGGGGTGAGAAGAGGGGGAGAGAGGGGGATAGAGGGAGAGGAAAGGGAGGGGAAACGATATAAAGCGTCAAAGGGGTGTGCGAGTGAGGGCGTCATGAGATACGATGATAAATGTATGAAGGGTTGTTTGGAGTAGTATGGGGGAGAGGTGGGGCAATTGAGTGGAGTAAAGGGTATTACATTGGGCCAATCAGGGTGAAGGCTCTTTGATGACTGTCCAATGGTGCTCGTATGGAGGAGTGGTGGGGGACTGGGGCACCTCTTGGGCCCACTGCTTGCTGCTTGCTGCTTACTCTGTGCTGCTTGCTGCTGGCCTCGAGGCTTTTTTGTTGCGTCACTGGATTTCATTCAGTGGTAATACTCCGCACGAGACCGAGGCTGCAAGTCCTCCACACAGTATTCAATTCCATTAATAAATTCACTGCAATTTTTTATATTAATAATAAAAAATCTGATGGTGTGTAGTGAATGCATCGTTATCATCTCGGCACTCAGTATTTTCAGTACTTCGTATTTACTGTTGAGAAAAATGGAGGGGTAATTGATATCGATTAGGTGATTAAGTAGGGGATTAAAGTATTGTGGTGACAAATTGAATAAAAATCGTCGTGCTGGCGCTCGAAGAGCACATACATGTGACGAAGGTGAAAAGTGACGGGTCGGTGTGCAGTGACATAAACATGGTCTTCATAGAAGACCCGAGGATGATTTTCGCGGATATGCGTCTACATGCCACCAGCACACCCACCAGCACTCCGACACGTTATCACCCGAATAAATATCGCTCGCAAAACAATAACAATTGTATGATTTAAATCACTCTATCCGATAATTAACGCTGTTTTATATTTAAAAATACGAGGGATAATAATTTTATCGTCTTGTGCTCCAGATGCTGATTTACATGGTGATGTGGATGGTGCTGAGCTCAGTGGAGATGATCGGAGTATCGCCAGCGACGTTCAGGATGGAAACGAGGCGATCTTGGATCACGACTCCATGGACTCGGAGCGAGGAGCCCTCAACCTGGTGAGTTGTTGATAAATAATTCTGTGGAGAAGTGGTGTAATTCAGTTGACGAATAAATAATCTAAATTAATGAGTTCACAACGAAATGATGAGTTAGCACCACTTCACTACCGAATTCCAATGATTTAACTTGAGTACGAAATTCATTCTCCAGGTTACCGATGTTTCACAGCGAAACAGCAGTAGTGGAACAAGCGGTAGTGCCTCATCCCCGAGTTCCGGGGTCAGCAGTCAGTTGACCGGAAGTCACGCTGGCAACACGAGTAACTCACAAGCAGCATTAGCAGCCCAACTAGTCGGACAGCAACTCCTGATGCACGGCTCCCTAGGTGCCCTGAGCTCCCAGGAGATTCAAGCCCTAGCATCAACCCTCCAACAACAACAGCAATCCCTTCAACAACATCTCCAACAGATCGCTATGTTCCAACAAGCAAATCCAGCGGCCGGTCAACTTCCTGCGCAGGCGCAGTTCTTCCTTCAGAATCAGGTACGTCCGATCTTCAAGTCCACTTCCCTCCGTGCATTCTTTCTCTCCGGATACTCAAAAAGATTAAGTCACAAGCGAAGGGAGAACCCTAAGCGTCGCGCGTCAAAGACTCTTATCTGATCTCAAGATGTCAGATTACCCCGGGTTAAAAAAAAAAAGTACCCGACGACTCACTCTGATTGCCATTGAATTCTTTTCACTCAACATCAACATCTCCCCATCGTCTATCGAGAAATAACAATTATATTGAGAATGGATAAAGAAACCCCTATTAACCTAAGACTTCATTGAGTGCGTGTCCCTCGATCATATTGAAAAGCCACAGTGTACATTGCATTTTAAGGGACAATCACCTTGCCACGAACCTCTCTTTGTTACCTCACACGTGGCAACGATAAAAAGATGTGTATATTTTTACCTATAAATCCTTCACCCATTATGCTACATCCCGATTGCATAAAGCGACACACGACCTTCTCAAGCCTTAAAAAAAAAATTTGAAGCATAGGGTTACGTTGAACCTGCTCAACCCCAAGCACGCGAACTAAAAAATGAAAGGGATATATGAGTAATCCCTGCTATGGGGCGTCTTCCGGAACAGATACTTAATTCCTCCATTCGCTTCACCCCTTCAGCCACCAGTGGAATTTTTACCTGTCCACGCGCCCCTCTTTGACACGCGTAAACCATTTCATCAATTTTATCGGTACATCAACGTGTAAGTGTTATCGTATATTAAGAAAAACTCTTGCAGGGGCTGTTGCAAAGCGGTGGCTACGCCCAGAGACCGAGTCATCCGCGCTCACAGTCCATGCAGGTATTATTCGTCCTGCTCGGAATTTATTAATTATTGTCTGGGTGTTTTTATGTTCTCGAAGAATGTGTGGGCTTTGTATTTCAAAATCAATACCAGACTCTTGAAGATTCAAAGATTGCCGGAAGTTTTGAATGCTTCAAGCAGATTCACAGATGAAAAAGTAAATCTTCTGTCAGACAATAATTTGCCGTTGAATGATCTGGGGGTATAGTCAAAACAAAAGTTTGTAGACCTTTCTATATATTCAAGTTTTTTTGTTTGATCACTGCTTTGGGAAGAGTCATCCGCCGAGTCATTCATGACATTCATGATCTAATCCAATATTGAGTGACTGACAGGGAAAATAACAGTTCCAATAGCCTAAACATTCTTGAGTCAAGTAGTTAGTCTTCTGGGATTGATTGAGCGATGGATTTTATTGATGAATACGGTATCTTGATGTTTTAGGTTCAGCAGGCGGTGGCGCAAGCAGCTCAACAACTCCAGGCTCTCCAGAAGCAGCAGGCACTGCAGGGTGGTGGTGGTCTCGTGGGAAGAAATGTGACCCAGCAGAGATCACCACCTCCTCCGGGTACTCCACCGACGGTAAAACCACCGACGGCAAGGCTTGAGCCGTCGCCAGAAGAGACAACGGATCTTGAAGAGCTAGAACAATTCGCTAAAACATTCAAGCAGAGGCGCATCAAGCTCGGGTTCACGCAGGGTGATGTAGGATTAGCTATGGGAAAATTGTACGGAAATGATTTTTCGCAAACAACGATTTCCAGGTGAGAATTTACTGAAGGACATTTACTCTAGAGATAATTGACGATTTATTTACGTTCGAGTGAATTCTTTGTGATGAGTAAAAACTTGATGACGATCCGTTGAAATGTTTTGATAATGGTTGAAAATTGTTGCAGGTTCGAAGCACTCAATCTCTCGTTTAAAAATATGTGTAAATTGAAGCCACTTCTGCAAAAATGGCTTGAGGACGCTGACAACTCGCTTAACAATCCCAACTCACTCACGAATCCATTGACAACACCGGAAGCCATTGGAAGACGACGAAAAAAGCGCACCTCAATAGAGACAAGTGTTCGTGTTGCACTTGAAAAAGCATTCATGCAGAATCCAAAGCCAACGTCTGAGGAAATAACGATACTAGCTGATAGTCTCGCGATGGAGAAGGAGGTTGTGAGGGTGTGGTTTTGCAATAGGTAAATATCGATCGTTTATTTTTTATTAATTTGTTGATTTAGTGTAAGGTGAAAAAATAAAAATGTCAATGAAGAAAATCAAATGATAAAATTGAATTATTGCAATGACAGGCGACAGAAAGAAAAACGAATCAATCCACCAACAGCAGCAATGGGCAGTCCGACGATGGCCTCACCAGCGCCCTCTGTATTTGCATCGCTGGCTAGTTCGATGTCGGGGAGTCCCCTGGCTTTAACAACCCACTCGTCAGGAATGGGCCACTCCCACTCCCATCCAACCCCACTGGGCTCCCCCATACCCCTTGCCCTTGTCGCCACAGCCGGGAGTAACTATCACGCCTTGAACACCAAATCTCATGAGTGACATCAACCTGTCACCCAGCATGATAATGCTGCACTGTACCATCATCACCGTTCGCAGTCACAACTGCCGCATCAATTTCATAATCAGCATCAACGACGCTTGTGCAATCTACCCGAATTTTATCACTAGTCGGGATGCCAACGATCCACTGAAATTTTTTCATTCCTCAGTATCAAGTGTGACGATTCAATTGATCATTCATTGATACTGAGAGATGAACCTGTGGCACTGGCGACGAATATTAACTCAGAGATGAGGGAAAACGTATGTATACGTGTGAGTTTTCAAATAATTCAAAAAGACTTGACAATTAAATTTTTTTATTGACCGTTTAATATTTATGTCAGCTTATGAACAAACTCGTGGTGATTGGTGTGCATGTACAGGAGAGCATGGGAATTCATCTCCTTTTTTTCACAACGAAAAAATAGCGATCAATGTACATAATTAGAAAAAAAGAGTTATTATTAATAATTAACGCAGTTGATTGGATTGAATGAGAGAAATCCAAAGATCCGCGTAATGTTGAGGAATATAATTGGTCGGAGGAATGAGGTATATTGTCTAGGGAGGGCACCTATTGATGTAACAGTGAGGGAGTCATGTGTTTGTAATGGGCGTACGTTAATCGATTAATCTCGTTGATTACAATATCAATTCATATGTAATATTTCTATTTATGATTATTTATTTTTACAGCCAATTTATTATTAATTTGTGGGAGGATGCAATCAGTGATGTCTGTATTGCTGAATGCATTTTCTTGGATGAATGAGTTTAGTACCACCGATTTAATCGCGAGGTTGATCAAACACGTATGACAATACCAAGTATTATAGGATAACCCATTTTTTTTGTAATTCTGGTGTCGATGGGGTGCTTTAGTAAAAAAAAAAATTGATTATCCACGTAATACGTCTCAAATGACGTTATTATATTTATAAATAAATGTATATAATTATAGGAATTATATCATAAAGTATTAAGCATGTATCGACTGTTCAGCTCTATATAAATATAGATACGCATATTCACCATATAAATATATAAATAAATGTATTGTAAATAGTCTGGTAATTTTTAATGGATTACGAGATATCGAAAAAAGAAAAAAAATATCCAGTCGGGGTGTATTCATCGATAATAATTCATGTTGTATTTTCCATTAACGATTATAAATAATTGGATTTGAGAATTGTTTTTGTATATTGTAATGAGGCTTACCTACAAGTGTTGCATTTGTTTGAGATATTAGTGACAATTTTTGTTTCAATTATCCCATCATTTTGTTGATATTCTATCTTATATGGAATTCCAGATTCGTGGACCAAGTGTAGGAAAATATTTTTGAGGGATTGATTATCGTCATTTCATGGAGAATTATTCAATTTATTTTGGAGATGTTTTAAGATGCTTTTACTTCCCGAGATTCTAATATTCGAATGAAACACGATGACGGCATATGAAATCACATTCCAGTAGTTTTAATACATAATACCCCCACCCCCCCCCCTCCCCTCATTATGTAATTATCGCAGAATAATTCAGAAACATGTAGATGCACAAGAAAATGAATTGATGATTTTATTTTTACGATAGATTATATTATTTCTCATTATATTTTAACTTTTACTGTGTTAAAATAAAATGCATACAGACAGTCGAATTATTATTTGATTGGTTTTCAATTTATTTATTATTTCCTTTTGGTCTAAGGGGTGCGGGGGGCTGAGAGACACTTCAGTCATGATTTTATCATTTATATTCTGTCATTTTTGCGTAATGAATTTAGATTTTTACAGAAATATTCTCTTCAGATATATTTTATTGGATTTAAAATGTGCCGTCACCGCCGTCCTATCTCCTTTTTGTAAATAAAGAAAGTAGTAACCCTAGATATCGACTAATTGAGAAGAATTATTACTCTAAGACATGTACCAAATTCTAGTTGTCCAGATAAATAAAAATCATTCATCTCTCGCTACATGATATACCGTAACCAACGAACAAGATTTTCGTATCGTTTTGAAGCACGATAATGAGGTGTTCTGTATTCAAGGCCATTTTCATGGATGACTACTAGTGATAAGTGAAGAATATTAACACTCGCAGATGAATTTGAATTGTTGAAAAAAAAAAAAACAAAAGAAGCATTGAAATCTTGGACTGAATATTTACAATAAAATTAACAAAAAATCAATGTGTTATATATTCTAGATTTAAGTGTGAGTGCTTGTTTCATGAGAAAATGGGAATCCACGGGGTCTACCAAATGCACGGTTTAATGTTCCTAAAAAGTCGTGAAAAAAACGCTATGAAACAAAATCTGTAATGTTTTAATATTTTGTACTTAACACGTGTAATAATGTATCGATGAGTAACATGATTAATCATAGGTACGCAGGACAAATTGAAAAATAATTCATCTCGCTCCAAAGATAGGAGCAGACATTTTTTTTTCCGTTATTTTTAATGAAAATTATGGGAGAAGTAACACGATTATTATCTAAGAGTTAACAAGCGTCGAGGATGTATAAATAAAATCATATCAATCGTACATAGTTAATGTTAAACTATTAGGTAAAATATGATTAAAAATTAGTTATCATATATCATCATATGATTAGTGAAGGAAATACTGTAATTATATAATAAATTGCGTCATAGATATGAATTAACTTGCATTTTTCTTCTCAAACTTTTTTTCTTTAATTACAAAAGGTGAAAAACACTTGCCGCAATTTTGGGATTATCATTTTTATTCTTTCATTTTCATTTTCGTAATCTTCCGGTCTGATGATTTTATTATCGTCTAGGTGAATATTTCATTTTTGGGGGTAAAAAAAATGTGGCTCCCAAATTTTTCTCAGGCCCAAAAATTTAATTACTTGAGACTCAAATTAATCAGTCAATAAGTGAAATAAATCGTTAATCGTTGATAAAAAAATTAAATTCCGAAGAAAGTCACTTCCCTCTTCCAAAAATTCCTTGGAATTAATTGGAGTTAATTTTCTTAATTAAATTTCGTTTTCTCTAAAAATGAAACTTTTGATTTCAGATTTCTTGGTGAAATTCCTACAATAGCACTTCAAATCCACATCAAATTGAAGCTTTCAACAGATATGGAACTATTCAACTCCTGATAACTTACCAACCGTCGAAAATATCCGCCCCAGGAGTTAACAAACCGTCAGTAGAGAAGATAACACCAACAGCCGGTAAGTTATCACCAAAAATATGAATCTTCAGCATCAATTTCCGAAAATGAGAATTCAAGATAAAATTGGAGCAGTTCGTGATAACGCGCCTCAATAAAAAGTTATCGTCGAAGGATCACGACACCATCATATCTCATAAAAAAGATCAGAATCGAGAGATCACTTTTATCACGTCCTCTCCGCGCATAATTAAATATAAAAAAAAAATAAGGAAAAATAGTTATACTAAGACTAAGATTTTTCCATCAGCTAAATGTCAATAAACCTCCCACACATTTCCTCTCTGACATCAATTGGACCCGCAATATTTCAAACTCACAAACTTTACCCGTAATTCTATGTTCCACGAAATGAGAAAATCTCCCACGATGTAGCCATCGACCGCAGAGACTGTCTCCTGCAGGATCAACAACGATCTTGAAATGTAGTACACATAGAAAAACAATTTATATGAATCAAATAAAATTTATGGCCATCAAATCATTTCACATTTCTAAATTTCTCATTTTTTTTACGATTTTCGTTAAATCTAAAAATTCGTTATTGAAAATCAATAAGTGATTTATTCCATATAAATAAATGTACCACGAGTCCAGGGACGAGATCAAAGTAAATATTAAATATTAAAAAAAAAAAATAAATAAATAAAGTAAATATTATTCAGCATTTCAGTTTTCCGAAATTCCTACATAAATCGGAATGTTTTTTTCAAAAATTAGAGTTCATTACATTTTTTTCGCGCGTACCACTTCAGTATACAAGTTATTTAATTGAAAATTATACCGCCAAATAATTTGAACGAGGGCACCGATTGCAAAAATTTTCAGATGAATTTGATACATCACATTTTTACCGGAATATATGTAACTATAACTCTACATACACACAGACAGAAATATTCAATAAAAATGACGTATCTCTATTATTAATAATATAAATATTAACTAACCACAAGAAAATATATTTGGCATTAATAAATCTTATGGGAGTATTTACACAGTGATCGTCAGATTTACTAGCGGGGAGAAAATATTTTTGGCAAAATGATTTTTTTTCTCAGTGCAATCTTCCGTAATTTTTATTTAGATGTGAAGTACTCCCCGTGTACTTCACACCCCCCGAAAACCAAGGTCGCGACGATTACGTTAAAGTTCCATAATCTTTTGAGTATTTTTCTAGGGTAGTGTTAGGGAATAGAAAATAGGTGAGTCGAGGAGTTGAGGAGTAGGAGTTGGCTGACTAGGAGTGGGTTGAATCTACTGGAGGTGGTGCGTGGTTCAGTCGGCGGTTGGACTCGGCGTGTGCACCACGTTGTCCATTTATTTTTCGTCAACCCTCCGAATCCACGGTCACCGCGACTCCACGCCAATATTCCAGTATGTTCCCGTCACACACGTGCCTGTGGAATTCCAATGTATCGTTAAAAATAAACACTCGGTGTTAAGTGAATAATCGTGATCAAGCGCAACTTCTCGATGACAATTCTCATCGCTGAGATTCAAAATGGATTTTTAATTCCTTTGAATTTTATTGATAGCCACGGGAATCGTTTGTTTGATAATTTTGCGGATGTGATCACTGCATTTACACTGGAGAAGTTGAGTTTTATGTGAGCATTACCCGGGGTAATTCGAATACTCATGCGATCCTCGCGGGCACAGTTGCACAGTTGAACGACAAATTCGCCAGGGGGGAGAAACGATCGTGGACCCAATGTGCAGAGGTGATAAAAATATACCGGAGGAACATCTCGGCTTTAAGCCAAGTGCCTGAGGGTACCAATATAGGGTCAGTTGATAAGATAATTCATCCGAAAATTCAACGACTGTCGTAAATCATCGGTAAGAGTGAAGTGATTCCCCGAGTTATTTATTAAAAATAGCCCCTCAAAACCTGTGAAAGCATTGATTATCCAATATCAAATTTAAAAATCCATCTCCCTTGTTAACGATTTCGACCTGTCAATTCTTCTAAAATGAAGAGCGTTTGACATGAGAGTCTTTGCCAGAACGTAAAAATCCCTGTTTGCCAGATCTCGCACGTGAACATGCATATTCACGACATATTTAAAAGAGAGATTTTCACGAGATTTTTTTTCAAGCCCCAATAACTCATCTACCCCGTGAAAGGATCCATTCAGTTTTCACCGCGCGTTTGTTCAACAACAGTTCAGCTAAACGAGTACTTTCCTCTTCGACAAAAGGTCTGCACCGAAAAAAAAAAGAATACGAGGAATAGAATAAAAAAAAAAATTGTGGTTCAGTGCCAGAAGATTGTCACAACTCCCCGATGAAATAAGAATTAGCTATAAATTTTGGCCACGACTGGAGACCATTATCATTCAAAAAAATTGATTGATATCCGGTATTATTCTCTTATAACCTTGGAACAAATTAATGTCCTGAGCAGGAGTAATAAAATGAGCTTCGAAGAATGCCAGTGTTCCATCGATTTTCAATTTATCTCCCGTGGTTTAATACACCTCGGTGCTATGGCCAAGGCTATGCATTCCAAATGTGCGCGATATACATATCGCGGGATCTCCTGTTTACCTCTAATGCCTCAACCTAATGGTCTTCCCTCCTTAGACTATCAAACAATCATCACAAATCATTTTTCCTGAACATTGAATTTACGGTAAATGAAAACAACACCAACCGTTAATTAAATTGACCGATTACCTTCACTAATGATTAATCAAAGTCGTAATTAAGGGGATCTTTACAAAAATAAAATCGATACCGATTAAATGAAGGTGGAGATCGGATCATACATGATCTTTGCAGAGTTTATACACAAATTGTAAATCAGAAAAATTTTCTAGATTTTTTTTTCTACTCCCTATTTTTATATATAATTTTAGTATATATTTTATTTTGTTAATTCAAATGTTATCGTGATATTGTTGTAAATTAATGAATTAATGTTAAATGGATATCATGGGGTTTCGAGTATTTTTTATTCATTGCATTAAATTTTCATTGATTTCTATGGCCTATGCAGTAATGAGTTCAGGTATTGTAAGCAGTTGACCGTTAATAAACTTCATGAATTTCCCAACATTGTTTGCTAATTATAAACTTGCTGTACATGCCGTGGACATGAATCTTCCATATTTGCGAGGTTGTTCAGCCCTTGAATCGTACGGTAGATTTGAGGTTTGTCGGATATTTCAAACATTTTCACTTGCAATTCGTAGGAAACCGCAGTCATTTAACTCAGTAATTCAACCCTTCCCACATTATTTCACCCCTAAAAACAGTTTACTTGAATTAATTAAAAACTTTTGACCCAACCGAGCCTCTGCAAGACACTTCAATAAATAATAATAAGTGATTTCTCTAATTTCAATCAAAACTTTCCCAGCTTCAAACAGCCCACGATATTCCCAGTGATATTCGCTGACTCGATTGCAAAAATCCCCCTGAAATGTTAATTCCAATTTCTCTAAATTTCAGATACATGTGTGTGGAGGCTGGAATAAACTGAAAATACTTGGCCGACATAAAATCCAGTATTCGGTGTGAAATCAGTGACTGGTGCATTTTCATTGAAATTGTGTTCATAAATAAGATCGGTAAAGTGATAGTGAATGGAAGAGGTGAAAAAACTATTTTTATATGATAAAGGGTGGTGGTTAAATGGTTAAATCGGTGTGATTCGAGGGAGGGGAAAGATAGATAGTGGAAAGACTGTGGGAGTGGGTGGGGTTTGTTTTGGTTGGACAGACTATAATCTGACCGGGTTGACCGGGTAAATGAATGTGTTTGCCCCGGGCATTGGTGATAGTGATAGTGAAATCGAGGGACGACAGGGGTGCTCGATTTAAACACATAAATGTACGTGAGGAGTCCACAATGGTGGCCTGGCTCCCGCAACAAATTCTACTGCTTCTCGTACTTGGTGAGTACAAGTGACTCATTCTATATTTAACTACCCACTGGGTTATGCCAATTCACTGCACCACACACTGTGCCACATTATTTATTTTTTATTTCCCATTTTCTCCCCCATTCCTATTTTCCTCATTTCTTATCCCCCGTTTTGCTCGTTCAACCGTTCCCGTGGCTTTATCGAATAATAATCTAGTACACCTCTCCTTGTACTGCTCTTGGTACTCAAATCGTACTCCCTTGAAATTTCCGTCATTTGTCCTATTTTTTTTTTCTATTGCTTTTTTAATTCTCGTCAGACCGGTATAAACAATCGGGCTATTGTACCAGCATTTTCTAAAGGGGTTCTGCCTGTAATGGAATCAATTTCAGGCAGACTCTCGATAACTGGGAGAATAAAATAAAATTGCGTTGACAAAATTCATGGCAAAACAGATGGCCTCTCCACATCGATGGAGGGATTTATTTGTTTCGAGCGTAAAAAAATACGGCGAAAATGTGAATACTAATTGAATGCTGCGGGGAGGTTGAACCATTTTTTTTTTCTTTCATGGACTCGAATTTTTTTGGATTGAAATATTCAATTGAATTGTTCGTACGTGAGTTGGGGAGCAGTTGGGGGATGAAGGGGGAGAAAAAAGAAAAATTAATTCAAATTTTTTGAGAAACTTTTGACAATTGCTCGAAAAACGTTAACACATCAATTTTTTTTAAATATTGCTATTATTATTATTTATATTGAACGTTTTTGGAATTGTAAGATTGTTCTTGAGATGCCCTTTGAGAAGAATTTAATAAGAATAGAAATAAAACCTCGACAGCTTGAAACTTTTATCCTGTTCCTCAAGGATGGGTTACTCTAGTACTCTCTATGAAATACATATCTCTCATAAGTTCAGTGACACATGGGCTTGTAATCCCATACCTTTGAAATATGCTTACCCCATGAGTAAGAACATGAGTCTCTTTTTATGAGAGCATGAAAATCGGATTGTCCCCGTCGAGTCTTGAATTTTCGTTGTGAATTGCTCCACATCCTACGGATTTTCAAGGTAAAAACGCAGGTGCTCTGTGATACTTGACTGTCCCGTTTCCCCAGCAAATGGAATTCATTCAACAGAGCAAGTGAAACAAAATGGAGTATCAATTGAATATTTTTTTGTACTCCCAACTATTTTATTTTTCACTCTATTAAAAATACTCCACAGGTAATAATTCAGGGGTATTCCATCACCCCTAAATTATTATTCTAAAAATTATCCAAATGTTTATTTATTTTGTTCTTATCTTAAAGGAAGTGAATTCTATAGTATCGATACCTGATTGAATTAAATAAATTAATCCTTTCAAGATGAAAAATTAGCGATTTTTTCAGTTTGGGTAGATGGGAAGAAAATTATATATCCGAAAATATATATTATATATGTATACCCTTTCGAGCTTTTACATTTTGTCGACTTCTCTCCTTCTCTCTCTCTTTGATGTAGAATTAGGTTTACTAACTTAATTATAAAGTTACGAGACTATAAACTTAAAAATATATAAAATTACAAAATTATACATTTTTCTTAGAGCATTCTAAGCCCTAGAAGTTCTAACAAGTTTAAACACGTGATTTAACTAGCAGACAAATAATATCCGCATATATTTTCGGTTAAAAATGGAGTATCTGAGATGCATCTTCGGGATAGAAATTTTTTTCCTACGGATTTGCCTCGCTTTGTCTCCCGAAGATATAAATTACTAATTAATTGATAGTAATAAAATAATATATGTTATCTTTTTGTGTTGGTTTGGTAATTGGAGATATTATTCTATGATTTATGTCTTTCTTATGTCCTTCCTTATTTCCTATGTCACACGGAAACGGTGAAATGGATGGTGTATTTTGATTTTTATGAGAATGAATGGGCGGTTGGTACGAAGAGGGAGTACTTGAAGAGGGAGAAATCGTACCGTTTCTGATCACCGAGAGGTGACACGTCTTCTACAGGAGAAGTAATCCAAGTTCTAGTGGAACAAATAGCCATTTTTCATCACGATAAACTCGGAAAAAATTTTTATCAAAAATATTTAATTATTTATATGATGTAATGAAAATATATGATTGAAAACCATGGAGACAAAAAAATTGTAATGCGAAATGCTATAATAGTAGAATTTCTTTGGTTCATAAATAAAATTGATATTAATATCGCAAATTTTTTAGTATATTCCGTAATTAATCGTATGTGTCTCCACATAATTTAGAAAACAGCGATATAAAATTTGAGGGTTTATCGTTTTTTATTTGAGTTTGAAGGAAAAATTGATAGAAATTTTTTATTGTGCTCCCTTTCAATTTTCACTGTGCCACACTGCATTTTTTCCAAACATCTTGCAACCCAATATGATTGGTTAGCGATGAGCACCGAATATTTCCGATTCTTGCCGAAGTTGAACTTAACGATGGTAACTGTTGCGACGATTTTTAATTTTTCGATGAAGAAATTTTGGTGGATGGCCTAGTAATTTTTATCGGAATCACACTCTAAAAATTCATAGATTTTTTTCCCCTCGTACATCGCGACAATTTGTCATTTTTGCAACCCAGAATTAAAAAAATGTCGACAAGGAAGTGATAAAACATTGGAGCGCTCGCATTTTCTAATGGCTTCCCGAATTCTCTCGATGTGGAGACTGAGACTAGATGAAATCGTGACGATTAATAGAGGCTGGTCTCCAGGACCTTTTTGTTAGATTGAATTTATCGTTCCCTCGGCTACTGCTGAAAGCCTGAAGCCACGGCGAACAGTAGCCAATTCTCCATGTAGACGTCGTATAAATTCAGTGGAATATTATTTGAAGAAAAGCGACAAGCATGTTTGCCACAGCAGTAGATTTGTGTCGCGAATTACTTCTGATCCATCTCGGTACTTACTTCTGTCAATGGGCGCATGATCAAAGGAAATGAGGGAAATGGCAAATTCACTGGGTTCAATTTTGTCAACTGGAAAAAAGTATCCTTCACAATTCTTTGTGTTGAGGTAGATCTTGGAGAGTAGTTTCCTATGAGATTCATAAAATACCTCGGTATTCATAAATTTCCATATAAGAATCCGAAATAAATACGAATTTTCTTACTGCAATAAAAACTTTATTGAATTCGCATTTTCAAATCAATAAAATAGTGATTCAATATAATAAAAATTTGTTCAAACGGAACAATTCTGTTTTATTTAATAATTCAATATTAGTGGCAGTATTTTTTGTTGCCATTTATTATTTGTTTTTATCATGTTTTTGTTATTATCTGGTTATCGTAACGATTAAGTGAACCATTTAAAGACCTGATAACGTTGGCCAGATAAGGACCTCCATTGGCGTTTAAGCCTTGATCTGGGCCTTAGCAAGTAACCTATGAGGGCCTTACATTTCAATCTAGCGGCCTTATAAAGACCTTGTGAGATGCTTGACAAAACTTTTATCAGGATATAAGAGATTTCCGATATAATTTTGACAAGAAAAATTACTGAAAAAATGGATAGTCTAGACCGGGATTTGAACCCGGGAACCTCCGATTATGCATCGGGTGCTTTCCCAACTGAGCTATCCAGCTCCTAGCAATTTGTGTTCGAAGTCTAATGCAAAGATGAGGAAACCACTGTTGATGAACATGTGGTACCAATTTTAAGTATCTCCCCCTCAACCTGCCGGAATCATTATTGAATCAGCCCTTTTGGTTGTACAGCAATTTTCTCTGTCCATATGGATGCTGCCCAATTTTCAGTGAATTAACCCATACACTACATCGTAAGTGGTGCTACACTCCCCATTGCTTTGATCTTCACCATCGAAATAATGGAATAAACCATCGGAGTTATATTCCACCAGCAGTTGAGATCGCATCTTCTGGGTCTTCAATTACTCGTGTGATCGTTTCATCCAATTACGTCGTGAGTACATAAACAGATCAACCGAAATTTTTGCAGAAATGCGAAAAAAATACAGACAATTTGAATAAAAGTTAATAAATTTCTGCGGGTCAGGAAATTTTTACAGTAATATGAGTAAAATCTAGTTTAATTCCATAAAATTTTCCAGTGCGGTACCAGCATTTTTGGAGTAACGTTGTTAATTAGAATTCTACTGAATTTATATTTCAATAAAAAATACCGAGAGTTAAATCTGTTATAGAATTTGTAAATACAAATGATCAATTCAATATAATCGGATCATCTCTACGCTTGGTTTTTTAACTAGCATCCCCAATTTCTCAATAATACACGGAGAGAAAAATTCTTTAAAAATTACGTGCCTGTTCCGTAACCTGCCAGTCAAAACAGTATTCAGTAAAAATTACGGAACAGTTCCGCATTTTTTCACGGAACGTTCTGGACTTTTTCCTGAAAGGTCACTGAAAAAGTGCGTAACTATTCCGTAATTTTTACTGAATACTGTTTTGACTGGCAGGTTACGGAACAGGCACGTAATTTTTAAAGAATTTTTCTCTCCGTGTACGTTCATTCGAATAAGGCTTCCGCGAATCATGGTAACGCCAATTTGTAATTTTCCACTGAAGACTTCTAACCGAAAATTCTCGTGATTTAATTGTTGCAAATATAAACTGTAGAATAAATTGGGAGTTTCATTTTCAATTAACTGAAAGCCGAACAGTGATTTCCAGGTAAAAAAGCGAAAATTGATATCTCGAAAATTTTAACGAGGCGGATAGTTATATTCCGATTGATTGAGATGGGCGCCATCGAGATGAGTATTTTAAACGAAAAAAAAAATGGAATCGGAAAAACGGTAAAAAATTAATGAACGGATTTAGCAAATGATGACAAGAAAAATTCGAAATTATTTGTGATGATTTTTCTCGTTTATTCGTTATCTTTATTAACACGATTCTCGAACTTTGTAATTTTACATTTGAAATATTCCTGCGTGATTGCCAAGTAAAATTGGCGAATCGAAAAATCGAGCGAATGCAATGCGTCCATTCAGAAGTAAAAAATGGAGTCACGA